GGCTGGGTGTGTGTGGGGGGGTTCAGGGGTCAGGACAGAGGACTGGGTGTGTGTGGGGGGATGCAGGGCAGAAGGCTGGGTGTGTGTGGGGGTTCAGGGGTCAGGGCAGAGGACAGTGGAGGTGTGGGGGGGTTCAGGGGTCAGGGCAGAGGGCTGGAGGTGTGTGGGGGGTGCAGGGCAGAAGGCTGGGTGTGTGTGGGGGGGTTCAGAGGTCAGGTCAGAGGGCTAAGGGGTGCAGGGGTGCAAGGCAGAAGGCTGGGGGTTTGGGGGGGTTCAGGGGTCAGGACAGAGGACAGTGGAGGTGTGGGGGGGTTCAGGGGTCAGGGCAGAGGGCTAAGGGGTGTGGGGGTGCAGGGCAGAAGGCTGGGGCATGGGGGGGTTCAGGGGTCAGGACAGAGGACAGTGGAGGTGTGGGGGGGTTCAGGGGTCAGGGCAGAGGACTGGGGGGCGTGGGGGGTGCAGGGCAGAAGGCTGGGTGTGGGGGGGAGTTCAGGGGTGTGGAGGTGCAGGGCAGAAGGCTGGGTGTATGTGGGGGGGGTCAGGGCAGAGGGCTGGGGTGCTCGGCTCGTGGGGGTGCTTCAACACCCTGCCCTGAGCGGCTCATTGCAGGGGGCTGGAAGGGATATGCCCTGTTCCACCCCCTTCTCCAAGGCCCCGACCCTACCTCTTCTCTGCCTCCTCTACAGAGAAGGGAGCATGCTGCCACTCATCCCCCTCCCCCTCACAAGGGTGATCAGCTGATCGGCGCAGGGAGAGGGAGGGGGAGGAGGAGGGGCAGGAAAGCACCACGCTGGGGGAAGAAGCGGGGGAAGGGGGAAGCTTGGCTGCCGCAGGACCAAGCTTCTGCCTCCTGCCCCCGCAGGGGAGAGCAGTGGGCGGGGGGAGCTGAGTGGGGCTGGGGGCCGGGACCTCGGCAGCGTGCCACTCAAAATCGGCTTGCGTGCCGTGTTTGGCATGCATGCCATAGGTTGCCGACCCCTGACCTAGATAGACAGACATTGATTTAAATAGATCTACTATGGATTTTTATCAGCAAAACAGAGCAGAATCTGGGTTCCCTTGTAAAAGTCTTCAGCAATAGGAACGGATCAGAATGTGTAAATCAGCAGCAAAAAAATAAAGGGGAAACCGGGCAGAGGGGTGAATTTAGTATCCCCTGGGGATGCAAGTTCCTGAGAGATCTCATCCTCACCTCGTCACACGGGGCTATCCTGTCAATCATGTCTTTCAAATGGCCAATCATCCGCTCTTCCTGAAAATCATAGGGGAACGTTTCTGTCCATTCTGTCAACAACTGTAGGAGTTTAGGCCCAAATTTTCTGATCCGCGCCTGGAACACAGACAAGAGTAATAGATACTGATTGAAAACACATTCAACAAAGTTCTGACAAATGCCCACCGAACTGCGTTTGGGGCCAGATTTTCAAGGAAGGCACTTATGGCTGCACCAGCAAAATCTGCTCACATGCAAACAAGTAATCTGGTGCACAAATGACACATTTCTGCATGCAAAATATACAAGTGCCTCTCTGCATGCACAACTGTCTGTTCTACATGCAGATTTATGTATTTTGCACATGCAATTGCCTGTTTGTGATTGGATAGACATATTTTGTTGGTGCAACTGTGATATCTTATTTTAAAAGATCTGGCCTTTTTTAAAAATCTGAAACATACATTCCTCGCCTTCCTCCCCCTCTCATACTGCAATCACTTTGCTGGAAAAAAAAATGGTTGCAAAGAGTTTCTTGAGTCAACAAATAGATGATTCTTTTGCTTCTTTGCTTTCTGTTAAGATATACCACGGAGTGGACACTGTTTGGTAGATGTAGCATAGAGGAAGAAGAGATGTACAACACAGCCAATTTGGTAGCTTTACTGCATCTCTGATTATTGGTAATGCTGTCCACTTCTCATGGAATAAGCCATCAGGAAGGGGGGTTGGGCAAGACAAAGAGTACACGAACCAGGGCCCACTCCAGCTTTTTTTGCCGCCCTAAGCGGCGAAGCGGGGAAAAAAAAAAAGATAAAGCTGATTGGCGGCACTTCGGCGGCAGCTCAATCGCGCCACTTCATTCTTCTGCAGCAATTCAGCGGCGGGTCCTTCGCTCCCTCTCTTCCTCTTTGGTGGCAGCTCAAAGAGGAAGAGAGGGACTGAGGGACCCACCGCCAAATTGCCGCCGAATATCCGGACGTGCCGCCCCAGGCACCTGCTTCCTTCGCTGGTGCCTGGAGCCAGCCCTGACACGAACTCATATAATATAGACCTGCAGCCAATTTTGGGCAGGTCTAGATGTATCCGATTATGCGACTGTCAGACAAGTTTGGGGATGTAGGTGGGGGAGCATTATCTAAATATATTTTAATGCATGTTGCTTCCAAAGTTTTATTTTTCCATAATCCAAGACAACAGGCAGAGCAAATTGCTCTAAACCAGTGATTCTCAACCAGGGGTACGCTTACCCTGGGGGTACATCAACTCATCTAGATATCTGCCTAGTTTTACAACAGGCTACGTAAAAAGCACTAGCGAAGTCAGTACAAACTAAAATTTCATACGGACAATGACTTGTTTATACTGCTCTATATACTATACACTGAAATATGTATATTCCAATTGATTTATTTTATAATTATATGGTAAAAATGAGAAAGTCAGCAATTTTTCAGTAATAGGGTGCTGTGGCACTTTTGTATTTTTATGTCTGATTTTGTAAGCAAGTCGTTTTTAACTGAGGTGGAACTTGGGGATATGCAAGACAAATCAGACTCTTGAAGGGGTCTGGAAAGGTGGAGCGCCACTGCTCTAAACAACAATTGCATTTTTATTTACAGAAAACATGGACCAAAACAAACAGCTTGCATATGGAGCATGCAGTGGGGAATCAGGAAAAATTATACTGTAATCAGGAAAAATTATACAGTTCTGCTCCACAGCCTTCTGCTTTCTGAAGAGGTTGGTTAAAATGCATATTACAGCTTCCCGCCAACAACAGGTTTCAATGTACCACAGCTCTATAAATAGTCACTGCCAGCTAGCATTAGAAGACACATGCTCAAGTACCAGCAAGTGGCTATTATGGAGAAGGCTCTGGTGGAAACGGCAAGGATTTGGGAGTATTTTTTGGTCCAGTTGGGTAAACTGATGCTTACTAAGCTTATGGATTGAAGGAGAGACATTTGTGCTGGTCACAGGACGTGACTCAAGAAAGTGTTTGCTACTGAGGCTGTGTGGGAAGGATGCTCATAAGCAGGTCTTCCCAAAATTTTAAAGCTTAACCCCACCTTAAGGAAATCAAATCAACCGTGCCTCCCTTTCCCTGCACCAGGCCTACCTGGCAGATTGGGTAGATCTTCATCCTTCCTCTCTTTTCTTACAAGCTCCGGTGAGCTGTGGAATACTTAACAATGCTCACATTGAAATGACCGTAAGTGGCACCTGGGTTAGCACCCATGTAAATGAGTAGAGCATTTCACCTCTCAGAGCCATTGTTTCAGACTTTGCAAACACAAGCAGATATTTCTATTGCACAAACAAGCAGCAATTTTCATGTGCAAGTCAGGCACTTGGAGAGGTGACTGCTTTTACACATGCAATCAGCTGCCGGTGCAAAAGTGGGTGCACAAATTTGGATGGTGTGGATGAATATTGGGGCCAGAACGTAGCAAAGTGTTCTCAGGTTAATGGTTTCATGCAGTTGCATAAATCTTGAACTGATGCTGAGATTCCCAGTTTGAAAGCAAGAGACAATGATACTGCCAATAATTTTGATCATTCTGGTATTTCAGTAACAATAGTATCAAATGATTGATGCACAGTCTTCTCTGCTCCATCATGCCGGACATCAACCAAAGTGCCATCTAGGACAAAAAACACCTCCAGCATACGGGGTAAGTCCTCACTGACACGCTCATGAAAGTTGTGATGGAATCTGGCACTGGATGAGTTAATCTTCTCAATTCCAACCTCCTCGTAGACACTGCCAGAGGACGAGTGTGTATGGTTACATACCATATCAGAATCTGCTACAGTTCTCTGGCACAACAGGATGAGCTAAGACGCAAGAACAGCTTGGATTTTCTCATTCTGTTAGCTTGTCACAATCTTACTATTACTTAAACATGGTTCCTTGTGTGCGAGATATAGCGGCGCTCCCCCAGCCCAGCTGTATGAATGATCTGTCAGAACAGAGACCGGAAGGTTAATGGGTAGTTGCGCGCTATTATGTGGACATCACAGTGACAGGTAAGCCCGAAAGGAATTGTTACGTGCTGTACCAGAAGCAAGAAAGCAAAAGGCCAGACGTATTAAGTAAAAACGGGAAAGACAGTGGTTTGCTGACATGTGCAATTGACAGCGTGCTGTTTAAATCCTACCTCCTTGCAGCCTGCAGGCTGGATCAGAGCCTTAAAGAAGTAAGAAGGGAGATCACCTGGGAAGTCTGAGATGGTGGGGGGCGGGAGAGAAAGGGAGGTTAGAAGAGGATTCGGAGGGATTAGCACCTGGAGCTCTACTCTTGGTTATTGATGGTATTAGTAGGATGCCACTATGTCAGGTTCTCAGGAAGAACAATAACTCATATGGGACCGGTAACATTCAAACAGGGAGGAGAGAGAGAAGGACAGATGCATTAAGGACAAAATCAGCAGCGTTTTCCATCAGTCCTAGAGCTCTCTGCTCTTTGCAAATGCCATGAACCTTCCCATGGTAGAACTGAACTAACCTTATCCAGCACCGGGTCATCCAGTCGCTGCTGCTCAACGCACTTGTGACAAACTCGGGACAAAAGTTCATGAGGTTCAATGAAGAGTCTTGAACTCAGCAGGAATGTAAAGATATAGGCCTTCTGGGGAAATGAAACAGTCAGTTCTACTTTAAGAGGGCTGTACAGTGTGTAACATTTACCAGAAAATATCTTGAAATCCATATTTAGATTTTCTCCTTGTCACAAGACAGAGATGTTGCTGATTCCTCAGGTTACAAGTATGCAGTCACTAGAGTCCACTCTCTGCCTTGAATTTACATATATTTGCATACATAAATACATATATATAGATACAGGCTTTACTTATGGTTGCCCATGGAACACGTGTAGTCTCCCCATTGGCTAAAGTGCAGAAGTTTAAACTGTACTTATTAAACATCTGAACATGCACCTTTCTTTCTAAACAGTTACACTCATGAGGGCAAAATTGTCTTCCGTTACACTGAAGCCAGTGGGATTGCACTGGTGCAAATGAGAAGGGCATATGTCTAAAAGACGCATGGGTTTCTGACCTTGACAACAGAATTTATTATATCTCTCATAGCCCCATTATCATATCTCTGAGCACCTCACAATCTTGAGTGCCTTTATCCTCTTGTCACCCCTGTGAGGTAGGGCAGTGCAACTATCCCCATTTTACAGATGGGAAACTAAGGGACAGAGACTAAGTGACTAATCCAGGGTCAGACAAGAAGCCTGTAGCAGAGCAGGGAACTGAACTCAGCTCTCCCAAGTCCCACGCTAGCACCATAACCACTGGACCATCCTTCCTCCCTTATGTCAGTCTTTATTCCCTGTGATTTAAACCCTTCTCCCAACAGCAGCGTCTGCGACCTCCATAACCCTCACTTCCAGCTCTTGCCAGCCCAGGCACCCAGACTCATGGCAATGATCTGTCACTCGATTGCAGGGCTCGCCCTGCCAGCATTTGGTAAGATTTACTCTAGCAACTTTCCAGATTTGGTTTTCGAGGCCAAGCTGTAGGAATGTCATCAGCAGCCCTACGAGTCACTGTTGCTGTGGAGGGGCAGGTCTGTGAAATAAACGGTTCAATTATTTACAAATATATTTGTACAGTGAGTTTAAAGCACATGCATGAATCTCAAGTGAGAATCCTTGAAATATTGTGCAAAGTTGCTTTGGGTCCACAACCCCCAGGAGGCTTGGGTTACCATCCGGCAGCACCACCGATGCTCCTGAACAGCTCATGAAATATTTCACATCGTATTGGGACTGCTAAAAACCTTAACCCCAAAACCCTAGTTTAATTGCTTTTCTCATTTTTCAATTAATCTGTTTATGTTTAGGTGATCAGAAACAGAGCAATTGCTAATGTAAGACACTGCCTGTACTGCACTGAGAACTTTATAACTGCGCAGAAGTCAGTCACACTCTATGATTCTTCATAAGAAGAAGGGAAGGGATAGCTCAGTGGTTTGAGCATTAGCCTGCTAAACCCAGGGTTGTAAATTCAATCCTTGAGGATTCCACTTAGGAATCTGGGGCAAAAATCTGTCTGGGGATTGGTCCTGCTTTGAGCAGGAGGTTGGACTAGATGACCTCCTGAGGTCCCTTCCAACCCTGATATTCTATATTACAAGTCATCCCACTGGGACACATTAGCACTGAAAAGTCTTCCAGTCAAATTCTGCCCTCAATTCCTCTGGGGCTATGCAAATCCACCAAAGTCAATCGGCTGCATTAGTGCAAAAGAGGAGGATTTAGCTTCTTGGATTAGATTCTCAATGCATCAGTGGAGTTACTCTGGATTTACATTGGTGGAACCAAGATCAGGATAGTCAGATGGGGCCCTTGGGCCCAGAGACTGTAAGAATGTTGTGCACAATACATCCTAGGTGGCTATTATGAATTGTCACGAACCGGGCTCTATTTTCAATAGGGGACTGCCTCTCACACACAGAAGCCTGGGCAATTTTAGCAACTGCTGAAGTTCTGCAAATTTACTGCCTATTTTTTACTTCAGTCTAGCACTAAACCTCTCCGGGCTGCTGTTATTTTTGAGATGCCCCCCGCTCGACAGCTCACTAATTCATCAACACCAGAGCTTTACTTCTTGGTGTCTTATTTAAAGCAACAGATGCCCCCACCTGAAGCTCTCTCATGGAAACTTAATCACAGGGCAGTGCAACGGCATTTAAAGCAAAGCGTCAATTTGCCAAGCTTTAATTGTAGGCAGCTTTAAATACGCTCTCTTGATTCAAAACCCATGCATTTACATTTCTGCATAAAGCGCTGCCCCGAGTCATCAACATTAAACTGTTTACTATACTATGAATTGCTTACTTCAGGGTAGTAATCAGTTGTAGGTATAAGATGTTGGATTAAAGCATCAAGAGATGCTGAGGCAAGGTTTCCATCCTGGAAGATCAGTCCCCCTTGATCATCTTCTTTTGCTGAGTGTAGATGAGGACTGAAGCCACAGGGGGTAAACATACTGGTAGAGCTCAGCGTTTGGGGCATGCCTCCCTGAAACAGAGAGAGATTCATATCAGAGACAAGAGCTACCTGATCTGCTCCCGTAAACTCAAACATCTTCCTGTTTCAAATTAAAACACCCCCAGCAGGTAATGAGACTAAGGAGGGTTTCTGTTTACAAAACCAACATGATTTCGCGGCTGTGTGACGTCCTTATTTACATGCAGCATTGCTTCTTGACCACATCTGCTTTAGGAAAGTTACTGCTTGAGCACAGAAAACTCAGCTCCAGTTTTAGGAATAGAAGAAGACGGCACCTGCCTAGGGCATATGACTGAAGAGAGGTCCCAAACTACCTCGAGCCCACCCCAGCAGACAGTAGTGGAGAACGTTTGCAGGAATTTGGTACACCCTAGGCCCTTTAAGAAGATCCTGTTCCCTGCTTTAGGCCCTGGAGATTCCCATGTAGGAAAGGGGACGCTTGGGCTTGAAACCCAGGACCTCCCAGGAGACAGCTGGAGGCTGGAATTTCCATGCCCCGTGGAGGGGGTGCTAGTCCTTCATGCCCTGTGGAGCTATTGCTAACATGCGGAGCAGGAGAAAGGGGAGGAGTTTCACCTGTGGCTTGCTGGATAAGGGTCTTGGGGGAAAGGCTGATGATTCTGTGGCTCTCAGGAGATGAGTGAGTGGATGCAGGGTGAGAGCGAACAGTGAGGAAGGAGCAGCACATCAGGTGGAGAGAATACTCAGGGGATATTCAGGGGGATACTCAGGGGAAGAGGTGAGAAGGGAGATGGAGACAGTGTTGGGAGGGGAGGCAGAGGAACAGAGTGTGGGAGCCACAGAAGAAAAGAAGGCAGGAGTACAAAGAAAATAGAAGGAAACAGGGAGATAGAAGGAATAATAGGAACGTGGGAAAGGACCAGAAAAGGCATCAGCATTATTTAGGCTAAGATTTTCAAAACTGGATGCCGGAAATTATGTTCCTAGGTCCACACTGAGCCACCTAAGTGTCTTAATTTCAAAAGGTGCTCAGCACCCACGGACTTTAACAACAACTGCTGCGTGCTCAGCACATTTGAAAACCAGACAATTTATTTCGGGGTCTCAATGTGGACCTAAGAGCATAACCTCAGGCTCCCATTGTTGAAAATCCTGGCCTGTGTTCCATTCCTATTCTCTGTGCCGGCTGGCGCTCCAGGGGCATCTCTCTCATTGAGATTTATGGGCTCATTTGATTGTTTATGCTGTTGACCAACTGTTTAGTTTTTGAGTTGGTGCAAGTGATACGGTAGATTTTTCCATGTAGGCCTCCAACATACCTCCAAGCAGCCCGCATGACACCGCCCAAGGTGTCACTCTAGCCAGAACGGAAGCAGTAGCATCTAATTTTAAAAAGAGTGCAGATGTCCTTGTTAGTAAGTCTGCAATAGCCCTCCCATAGCAAATAATTGCTACTTTTTGTACACTCTTCAGACACGGTGTATTAAATGGGAAAAGACAGCCAAACCCCATCTGTTATTTCTAACACTCTCCATGTTACGTCTTGTTTCTATGGCAATAATCCCAAGAAAGATTACATGTGCGTATAGATCAAGAAATAAATCTCATGGATATGGGCTGTCTGGGCCAGAAATAAAAAAAAAAAGTTAAAAAGCTATAAATTTATATGACACATTCTTGCATCAATGCAAAATACAGAATTCAGGGTTATAATTAATGCAAAGCAATTCCTCACTGTCAGCACCATTTTTATTACCGAATAGAAATGTATTTGAACAGGATACTGCCTGAACTGTTGCATCGTTCTAAAGCTAAATAAAAGTGGCATGTACAGTCGTTTTACTTCCTTCTTAAATGTTGGTAAAGAATGAAGCTCCCCTCCCTGTCCTGTTTTGGTGCTCCAATTAATTTTGTGTCTCATTCTGAAACACACTGGCATCCCCCTTTAGGAGCTGGAAGATAACAGCCTACCAACTGCTACTGCCTAATGCACTTCCTTTAGCTCAAGTGGCAGAGGTCTGTGTTGCAGTGCTGAAGTCCCTGGGTTCAAATCCTGCTTATGATTCATGGGAGATGTTGCTACAATTGCTGCAGAGTTTGCATGTGATGAAGGATGACTGTACAAAACACTAACAACTCTAGTGACAAACAAAATTCTCGCATAAAACTTCCTTATTCATGCTTGAGAAGGTCACTGTCAAGTCAACTTGAGGTTAGGGCACTGACTGAGCTGGTTTCAATGTTTTACAAAACTATATATCAAAAACAAACATTTTCCTCTTTGTTTCCTTCCTTTTTTAACGTGAGCCTGAAGTATCACTTCATTCGCAATATGGAAAAATGAGAACTTCCTTTACAATGAATCTCGGGCAGCATGTGTTTGTGCATTCTATCTAGTTTACGAGCGATGCTTTGGGTGACCTATGCTGTCAGTCACAGTAATGAAGGAAACAAAGAGGAAAATGTTGACTGCAGTAAAAAAACCCAGAAAAGACATTTGTCTCATTCTGCCTGCCATGATTTATATAAAGGGGCAGATGTCTTGTCTCGAGGTGTTGCAATATTATCCCGTTCCTGGAATGCGAAAGTGCAGCAAGCGGATATCAATGTGATCAGATTAGGGCTGTCAAACGATTAAAAAAATTAATGGCGATTAATCGCACTGTTAAACAACTATAGAACACCATGTATTTAAATATTTTTGGATGTTTTCTACATTTTCAAATATATTGATTTCAATTACAACGTGGAATACAGTGTACAGCGCTCACTTTATTTTTATTACAAATATTTGCACTGTAAAAAACAAAAGAAATCGTATTTTTCAATTCACCTAATACAAGACCTGTAGTACAATCTCTGTCATGAAAGTTAAACTTACAAATGTAGAATTATGTACCAAAAATAACTGCATTCAAAAATAAAACAATGTAGGACTGAGTGGACTTGTAGGCTCTAAAGTCTTACATGGTTTTGTTTTAGAGTGCAGTTATGTAACAAAAAAAAATATCTACATTTGTAAATTGCATTGTCATGATAAAGAGATTGCACTACAGTACTTGTATGAGGTGAACTGAAAAACACTTTCTTTTGTTTATCATTTTTATAGTGCAAATATTTATAATAATAAATAATAATATAAAGTAAGCAGCGTACACTTTGTATTCTGTGTTGTAATAGAAATCAATATATTTGAAAATGTAGAAAAACAACCAAAAATATTTAATAAATTTCAATTGGCATTCTATAGTTTAAAAGTGTGATTCAAACTGTGATTAATCACGATTAATTTTTTTTAGTTAATCGCGTGAGTTAACTGCGAAGAATTGACAGCCCTAGATAAGATCAATGCTTCCTTTTTAATTGAAACAACTGCGAGTATCACAACAACCCAACCGACAATGTCTTTCCACAAAAGTGCACGTTAGTCCACACAGCCCGCCCTCTCCTTGTTTAATTTTATACACTTTAACACTAAGTATCTCAGTAACCCCCTGACACCTGGTAAACAACAGCATAAGCTGTGTTGTGCATGCTTCTTTAGCTTTCTACAATGTTAGGGATAGGATGTATTCAGAGTATATAGTCGAGGCTTCTCCAATAATGAGATACAACAGTTCAGGCAATATCCTGTTCCAATACACTAATATTAGCGAATAAAATAGAGCTTGCCGGAAGTAAAGAATTACACGGCATATAACGTAACACTGAATCCCGTATTTCCATTGTGGAAGAAATGTAGGACCATTTCTGTCTTATATTAATAACTAAAACATGGATTTTTAAATCACATACGTACTCTTCTCCTCTTTTTCCTGTCTCTCTCTATTCTTTTGACCTTCCTTTCATTAAATTCTTTAGTCTTGTACTGAATATTACATTATAATTCTTCTGTAAGTTCATTTCACTGTATTACATATATTTAAAAAAATTAAGCTACCTCAACAGAAATAAGAGAATGATGTCAATATATTGATTTTTAGCTTTCCTCTCCCCCCAGCCCAATCAAGACCACTCCATAGTCCAATTCAGAGATTTTTATCTTGTGATCCTTTAAAAATGGCACCTGATGATATAAAGTTACATATAAAATTTTTGCAATTTTTACATAAAAATGTGTACCAATGAGTTGTGCCCGATTAAGGGTTGAGCATAAGCCAAGAAAGGCTTTAAGGATTTGAACCACTGAGCTAAAAGAGTAGAACCAAATTCCAACTGGTCTGTGCAAAGAAGCCTGCTACAAATTCTGCATATGGCAGGAATGGGAACAGGAATTTTCCACCCCAGTCCCGACTTCCCCAAAAGTCCAAGCAGAAGCCATGCAGCAAGCCTTCTGGGAGAGCAGCGGCAGTTTCAGACCAGCAACGTCTCTTGCACTGATTATTCCTGCTCGTCTATGGGCATTTTGTGTGCAGAGCCACCGCAGACTGGAATGGTGGTCCCTATTAACCAGAGGGATCAAACAGCTTGCCCCGGGTAAGTCTTTGGCAGAGCAGACAGTGGAGAACAGACTTTCTTGCTCGTAGGCCTGTGCGTCAACTTGTTACACTACCTAACTTCAGAAACAAGAGAAAGACAGTGGGCCGAATCTGACTTTGTGTCTGTATTTTGTCCTTGCAGTCCAGGTAGCTATCTGGCCTCCAGGGCCAGCTCTAGGATTCTTGCCGCCCAAAGCAAAAAAAATTTTGGCCGCCCCCCCTCGTTTTTTAATTACCCCACCCCTGGCCCCGCCTCAACTCCGCCCCTTCCCCAAATCCCCAGCCCTGCCTCCTCCTCCCCCCAGGCTGTCAAGCCTGGGAGGGAGGGAGGGGGAGCAGTGGCGCGTGAAACGGCTGTTTCGCGAGCCGCCGCGGCGTGTGAATCAGATGTTTCGCGCGCCGTGGCGCGCGAGCGGCAGCAGCAGCGGAGGTGAGCTAGGGTGGCCACGGCACATTTTTAGGGGCGGCATTCTGGCGCCGGCCATGCCGCCCCTAAAAATGTGCCGCCCCAAGCACCAGCTTGTTTTGCTGGTGCCTAGAGCCGGCCCTGGTACTAAATGCAGG